GTCCTGTCACTATATGCCCTTATATAAAGTCCCACCCCAAATTTCCTTCAGGCCCCCTTCAGATATTGGAAGGCTACTACAAAGCCTGCCCAGAGCCTTCTCCAGGCTGAAGAGCCCCAGCACTCTCAGCCTGTCCTTGCAGGAGAGACGCTCCAGCCCTCTGATCATCTTCATGGCCCTCTGGACCCTCTCCAACAGCTCCATGTCCTTGTGTTGGGGGCCCCAGAACTGGATAAGTACAAGGACACTGTGCAGATCTGAATTTCCCTTGAATTCAGTTTCCTATGCTCTGCTGCTCCACCTTTCTCTATAGTCTTTTTTCTTTTTTTTCCACACCTCAATCCATATCCTATCTTCTATCATTGATGTAAGCTGTACTGCTTTAGATACCACATAATAACTAAAAGCGAAGCAGGAGACTGGATGCTATAGATATCACAGAAAAAAAAAAACAACAATGGAATTATATATTACGATATGATATAAAACAAAACACAGAGGAGGCATAAAAAAGAAAGCTAAAATACACCAATGTGTTTTATCTTGACTTCGCTTAAATTATTATCAGAAATACCGAGCTGCTAAAAATACCACATGCTATCTCCTTTGTCCAGTAGCAGCATGCTTTCTTAACTGCTCATTTAAAACACTGGTTATACTCCACCTCATGCCAATTGGGGATACCACCTTTTTATAGACATCACTCAAATCTGTGATTTCTCAATACCACAAATCTCATCCTGAATCCATAACATACTGTCCCTCACTGGCACCTAAATGTGGAAACCAGATTAGGAACTGGGGATTTGTGTTGCCATTTACTGTTGCAATGAAACAGAGAAACATTGTTGTCATAATACTCTTGAGTATAATTATGTCTACAAATTCCCAGTTTGTGGACATATGTGTGCCGCTTACAATGAGTTCTTAATAACTAAGAATCATAAATATAATATAATATAATAAAACAGTAGTGCATGAACACAATGTACAGATATTAAAACCAATTATATTGCATTTTCTTGGCTAAATTAATTCACACTTTACAGTCATAACATTAGAATACTATATATTTCATTACTAAAATTTTATAATGGCTAGAAATTATATTCTTAGGCAGCCCTTCCTTCTGAGTACTCATGTATATGTCTGTATAAATACATGTGCTATATTGCAAATGAGAAACTTAATTTAAAAAACTTAAAAAGGAAATAACTTAAAAAATTTTGTGATTCCCTGGCAAAAAGTTATAAGCACTCTACAAAATAAAGGAAATAGAGTGATTTTGAGCTGTTATGTAATCAATTTAAACTTTTTTTCTTAAATCTGATCAGAATATAAATCATCTAAATTTGGCACAGATTATATTTTATCAGATTGAGAAAGAGTAAAATATAATCCAGTCTATCATAAGTTGCATTGCTACCTCAGTAGATGGAGCAGCACATCTCCATTTCTTAAGAGGACAACTGATGTCCCAGACAACTAGAAAAATTATAATATATACACATATAGCATATTTTTTTTGCAGTAAAAAATAAAAGATTGCAGAAACCAGCTGTGCCAGAATCAAGAATGACATCAGCCAGTATTTCACGTCTGATTGGAATTGTGTTCCTAGGTGTTTGCTTGTAACAGACACGCTTCCAAGTGAAGAGCTATCGTTCTCTAAAAATAAACCTCCTTTCACTAAATTTAAAAGTTTCCTGTGGAGTATTGTCTACAGTTTTATTGTGGTTGACAGATAGAAAGAACAACTACAGTGATATCATACGGTGTTAAATAAATAAAATAGAAAAAGATCCTGTTTCAGTTTTGTATGACTTCATTCATTCAAAGCCATCACCTAACTAGGTAAAGGTTTTAGGGCTGCACTTTGTGAACAACTGCATATATTCCTAGGACACCATTGTAGAAAAAGCACTTTCTTTGGAATAGGAAGAAATGAATTAAGATCAGTCTTTGTGTATTGCAACAAAGATAGCATCCCTTCACCAAGACACTGCAGTTCAACTGCCAAACTGGTGCTGAACTACTGCTCCCAGATAACAAAGCTGTCCAAGTTTAAGGACACCAGTCAGGCCTCTCATCTTCTTCTTTTTTCCCCTAGTATTACATATATATATATATGTAAAATTATTTTTTTAACTAAACTGTGCCTGAACTAAAGAGCATTCTGCTATTGCTTCCAAACCGAAGTTAGCAAATGCTAACTTAGCTTCCAAAATCATTATTTCATATCTGAAAGCATCAGCTATTCCTAAAAAAGATCCATATCATAATAGTTCTCAGGAAAACAGTACAGTTCAGTGCCTTTCAGAAGGAGATTGGTCCAAATTGCTACAATATGATGAAGTGGTTGCCTAATTAAAAGGTCTAGCAGATTCATTTAGAGCTGTACTCAGGCAAAGTGATCATTTCTAAATGAAAATAATTTAAACAAGGCTGATGATAGCACTATTTCATGGCAGAAATGTCAAGTAAAGAAAGCAGTAAGAACATGACATTAAAGCCTTAGCTCTTCATAAAACCAAGCAAGACTGCCAGTTACATCTACACTTTTACTGCTGTTGTAGACATCAGGATTTCCCAGTTGCATATTATTTCTAGAACACATACCTTTTATACTGTGCACTCCCCTAGTCCAAAGTTAAGTCCTGTAAATGAAGTCATGCAGACATAAAATAAACCAGCTGAGGTTTGGCACATTTCCGAGGACCCAAAACATCTCTTCGTCTATCTGACACAACCCCAATGTTCAGTGTTACTTTGCCTAATATACTCAAGACTGCATAATCCTTGATCACCTCATACCATCAGTTTAAACATCCTTGATACAACATGATTCTTCCTTTAGTGAATATAAACAATGAGATATAATAATAAATATCAGGTCAGTAAAGTTTCATAAATGAAGAGTGCACAGTTGCAATGAAACTGTTCTCAAAACCACCTCTAGCTGAAGTTTGTTCATTTACTTCTTGGTATCCCTCATCACAACTCAGAATACTTAAAAAATGTCAGAACAAAATGGATTTTAGTTTTTATGTTCTACAGAAGGCCATTAGGACTACCACATCTGTTCATGCCTCTGTAGTAAATCAAAGAAAAACACTTTTCTCCTCTTTCAAGAACTTAATGTTTTCTAATTTTGTTTATCTTACATTATTTCTCATGACTTCTTTAAATCTTAACTTTTTTTTACTAATAATTTGAGAAGAGTAGTACAAAAAATTTGTGTAACAATTAGGAAAGGAACTGCTCCGTTAGCTCTTGGCAAGTTGTTTGTGGCAATATGACAACAGAGTACTGAACACAGCTACCTGAATAGTTCCAGACTTTTTTCCTACTGCATAGTTACCAAGTCAGATCATTTACAACTTGCCCAGTGGCATATTGATCTATTAACCGAGAGGCTATTCTAACTCAATCTGCAGATAGCAAAGATCAATATAAACTGTGGAAACGATGAGGTAAGAAAGACCCAGTTGAGGTAAACAATGTGAGCAAGGATGAAGTGTACAAGTAAAAACAATCTCTAATAATTTTATTTTCCCTACATAGGTGGGAGTAACAGCAAATAACAGTTTCTGTCACAAGAAGGATTACTTACACTTTTAGATAGACTTTAGTTAGACTTACTAGCTTCATTTGTAATACAGATAACACAGTTCATACTGAGGAAATAGTAGAAGAAGCAATAACCCTTAATGTGAGCATTCAAACACAGCATTCCAAAATTGCACGTTGCAAATTTTGCCAGGGTTCATTGCAGTTTGGTAAATACAAAAAAATTTTTATAGATGCTTAGAATTTTCACTAGAAACAAGTTCATGCTTTGTAAAGTTGATTCTCATGTAAAGAATAAGTTTTCATACAAATTGCACTTCTAAGAGCGATGGCAATTTAACAGCAAGTTAGTAATGATAATGTCTATTTAAATGTTGCCAGCACTACTAGCTTCAGCATTTAGAAAAACACCAGCAACTGATTACTGCAGTTAAATTAAACCTGATATACACAACCACAAATCTTCCTTCTAAGAAGCTCTAAGCAAACTCAGATCTAGTTAACATCACGCACATTGAAAACTAGATGTTTCTGACTAGGTCAGAAATCCTACATGATGTGCCACCGATGCAATTCAACATCCAGCATTTTGATGCTTGGAGTGAGATTAATAGAAGAAAATTTTCTGTACCACAGCCATGAAAATACCACAGAACTACCAAACTTACACTGCCTATAGTGTCTTTAGAAGTGGGAAAAAAAAAAAGTCTTGTGAAAAACATGGAACCATCCAGAGAATCAGAAACAGAGGGAAATCAGTCAGAGAAAAGTTACTGGGATAAAAAGAGCAGGGAAGGAGCAAGTAGGAGATGGATTAGGAGTAGGAGAGGAGCTGTCTACAAGGAATCACTTTTACAAAACCTTGGAATATCTAAAACATGGATATAAACGACTCTACCACTGAATTCTTGAGATTCTAAGTTTTAATGCCGATAACTATCTTCATGTGTGTGAAAATATTGCAATAATGAATAATATATGTGCAGGATGAATAAATTATATGCATTATGAAAAAGAGATACAAAATATTTTTAGATCATATGTTCGTTACCCACTGTTCAAAAACAGCTTTGAAAACAAGCTTTTGTTAGAATAAATTCACTAAGAACCAGAGTGAAATTAACTAGATTCCAGATACTGCCAAAAGATTTGGAAGTTAAAAAAAAAAAAAATTTAGATACATATGCATGCTTTTTAACTTGGAATGTGTACAACATATGAAAGGTAGATAGTAAAAACAGAAGTCCATAATGGGTTTAGTGCAGTCCTGATAGCAAACAACACGCAAGCACTGATTCTCTTTACTGATAAAGTTTATCTTTAAAAGAAGATCCATTCCTTTACAACTGGCTTTACAGCAGCTACAGCAATTTGCATAAATGTAGCAATTCCTGTTATATAAATCATTGGTACACTTAAAGAATTCTTACCATTAAAAGTGTACTCTGACTTTCCACAGAAATTTTAACCAAACTTGGACGTAAACAATGAAGTTGCATTTGAGGGAATGATGACTTCGTATGTTACTGCTAACCACCTCACTACATAAAATATTAACCAATTAGGTAATACATTAACAAACTGGACCTCCTCACGAAGAATTTAAACTTCTGTTAATTATAAATTAGCTTTTTTCATAAATATTGTTCAATAGAAAAGGTTTAAAATACTTGTTTATATGTGATTTAGTTTGTGAGATCTCTTAACTTTCAGTAGTTCAATGGTACCACATGCAAATTTCACTCAGTTTCTCCCACATTTGCTGCAAATTGCAAATTTTCCCCAAAACAAATTGAGAACAAATAAAATAAAATAAAATGAGGACAGTAACTCACCCTGCTTACTTTCTTATTCATATTTTCACCTGTTGATATATTATCTGCACCCTCATTCATGCTGCCTGCTGTTTTTTTTTTTATCTGTAAGAAGGTTTTTATACACATTTGGCAGTGGACTAATGTCAACAGCCATTTGGAAGCAGACAAGGTAATAGCCTACTGCCAATGCCTGAGTTCTGGCAGGACTTCAAATCACAACAGTGAGACACTTTTTCAGCATCCTGATCTTAAAATAAAAAGATAAAGATAACACAGTAAGCCTAAGTCATACAAATATGAAAATCCCTCTTGTGTTTGTCTCTCTTCTCAAGCACAAATATCAGGAAACCAACGGAGAATTGTTTTCAGAATCAAAAGACAGTCCATGATACAACTGTTACATCTTCTTAGAACAACACAACCACTCTTACTAACAATGCATTACAAAATGCTCATCAACGTAAACATAAGTACTAACTTATCTGCAATACTTAAGCCACTAATTTCAACACAAGATGGTCATTTATTACAGAAAATTAACTTTTTTATTGAATTGCTTTATTTTTAGCTTTGAGCTGAATTCAGGGAAGTCCACAAAGAAATATTCTGAGATAAAGACAAGAATGGAGAAGCTACATCTATTTTTGAGTTGCACGCAAAAATTCTACCAAGTAAAAAGATGAAGCAATGACAAAGGGGATTTGTTTCAAATATACCTAGTACAACAATTCTGAAGATTCTAGCAAGGCCTGCCTTTGAAACTTCTTTTGATTATTATTATTATATCTGCGTGAAGGTCTGCTGCATTGATATGGTCTGTAAAGCATAGCCAGTTAGTTACACCTTCTCAAAAATTAATTACTGTATTTTTGTAATGGCTCCCCCTGATTTTGGGTGCTGAAGCATAAATTCTGAACGTATATTCCACTCCTGGAGCACAATATGAAAAGCTCTCATATAATACAAACACACACACACACACAAAAAAAAAAACCAACCAAAAAACCCACCAAAAAAGTAGATCTCCAATATAAAACACTCGTATAAAGAGTACTCTGCTCTGTCGCTAGCATGCACATGACATAATAAAGAGAAAGATAGCCTGGCAATATTTGCTCCCTGCTGCACATGTAAGAGGAAAGAGCAACACAGAGGTTAAGGCTGAGGGCAAGTCAAGATGACCAACCATGGGCCATCACTCCAGCAGCACGCAGCCAGCTGGCACCGACATTTCTCAGGCCCTGTGGCTCCTTCCATGAAATGATGCCATATGGCTCTAAGGGAAATTCACTGCTCCTTTTTGCTGCGTAAGCAGGGACACCACTGAGCATACTGTCCCCACCATCTCTGAACCAGTCTGTCCCACAGAATATTTTTGTAAAGTACTATGATGTAATTAAAAACCATTAAATCTCAGTCTACAGACAGTAAAAGCAGAATGCTAAATATTACTGTTATTTATATTCTGTAGTAAAGGCATACAATCATTTTATTTGGCAACTGATCTAATCTAGTTCAGAATATGAATAGAAAGCAAAAAGTAAACAATAGAAACATAAAAGTTAAGCAGATAATACTTTTTTTTTTTTTAGTGTGGTGGTTAAATCTCAAAATGAGGAAGAAAAATCTGAACTTTCAGAATTATTTTCTGAATCCTCAAAAAGAGACGTTTGCATTTTCTCACGTGTTCCATACATTAAAAAAGTTACTCTGAAAGTAATGCCTTCTAATGGTTTCCATGAAAACTACAATAGATACAAAGAGTACAATAACACTGTTTGATAGAGCAAACACTCTGCAACAAAACGGCATTTTTCTACAAAGCCACCACCATTAACTACACATTTTTGTCAGCCATGAACAAGACCCCACGTCACACTCACGTGACTGTCCGGAACGTGACTTGTCTTTCATGGTGCTGTTACTGCTGAAATGCATCATTCACAACCACACTGTGCTCACATCCACTGTTTCATCTCCACAAATGTTCAGCAAGCATCAGTGAATGGCAGTGGGTGCCATTTTGTCTCACACTGAGGAAATCAACGTCACACCTTTGCTTCATCTGCACTTCCATATCAGACACCATTTGATAAAACTGCCCCTCTGCTGCCATTTGTCACCCAGGAACAACATGTAAGAGTACGCTGGCAGTAAGGTATTAAACCTCTCCTGCCACATCTGAGGTTGTGGGCTGACATAATAAAATAGGAGGCATTACTTTTGGAGCAGCTCTAGTAGATCAATTTTGAATTCAAGAAGTAACTTTGAATTTTATGATAAAAATCTTTATAAAATACTGCATGAAAATGTCAGTGTTTCATTACAGCTGAAATGGTTTGACAAGCTCAGCCTGTAGTCGAAATCAGAGAATTTCATCCCACTGAAATAATATTCTTAAAAACAAACAAAGAAAAAAAAAAACAAAAAAAAAACACCCACTGTTGATAGAAACAATTTCTCATATGTATACACAGTACCTCAAATAGCTGATGCTTCCAGAAACAGAATGGATACCAGTGTCCTCTGCACAACCTAAATTTGAAAGAATGATTCACGCTCTTAACTAAGACCATAAGATATAATTGCATTCCCACTATCAGAATATGGTACCCATCCGACCATCGCCTGCATAGGCACACAAAGTCTTCTAAATCCGATATGAAGCACTGTTAAACAGTATTAACTCACTTGCATTTAGGCACAAACATGGCATATAACTGTAATTTGGATGACATATGAATATAGCCCTAGGAACCAAAACAAAGTACCAGTGGGAACTGTGATAAATAAAAATATCTGAATATATATATATAAATATATATATAATATAATAAATACATAATTAATAATTATATAATATATAATATAAAATATGATATAAATATAAGTATAATGTAAATATAATAATTATAATAATAAATATAATAAATATATAATAAAATATATAATAATATATATATAAAAAATGAAGACAAGAGTTTGGATATGCAAAGAAAGTGAGCAGTAACACACTAGGGAGTTGCTTATTTGCACAGGGACAGCATACTGCAGAGTGCCTCTTAAACAGCTACACCCATCTGTGAGCAACAAGAGGGTGCACAGTGATGCTACAGTGGAATGAATCCGTAGCACCAGGAAAACCAGCTACAAACACAGATTATGGCAACCATCTGAAGTGGTCTGCACTTTATTTCTGAGCATCATATAATAAGAATTAATGAATGTGTGAATTTTGAGGGGCTTTAAAATGGTTTGGGAAAATATGAAACTGTGCAGAGGTTTTATGCTATAACTGTACATCTGGCACCTTCTTTGGCATTTAAGGCTCATTAAATTCTGAATCTTGTGTTATCTGCCCTTAGCTTAAAATAGTTTTGTGTGAACCTTTCATCTCTAACTTCCTCTTTAACAGAAGTTGTTTCTGTCAGTCTCTTAGCCCCTCCTATCTTCTTTACCACATCATCTCCTCAGCAACAGCAGAGGCTCAGGTTATACCTCTGTCCTCCAGGATTTGACTTCCTTCACGTTCACTTATAGGAAAAAGAACTAAACAGTTTCAGTTTAGGTAGGACCAAATCTTCTATGAGCAAAGAATAAAGACATTCCAAAATCACTGTTAAATATATATATATATATATATTTTCCCAGTTAAATTAAATTCTAAGTAATTTTTTCAAACTAAGTTAAGTTTTATTATACGTAGAAGACTCTAACAGTAATATTTTCTATACAGATAGTCTAAGAATTGCCCACACATTTTCTTTTCTTCTATAAAAATGCATTTAAGAGCACTGAAGACGCTGACATAACACAATCCAGTAAGTCTCAAGTTGCTGTGACATGAAAGGTTTCTCGTTATAAATCAAAAGACTCACCACAATAGCAGTGTTACATCCCCAAAGAAATGCACGTTTAATTTAAAGCAACTGCTTCAGATTAATAAAACACGACCAGAAGTCAGACGTTTTTACTGAAATCAAGAAATATCACATTACCGCTTTCCGATTTCAGTAACTGTTTGAAGTTACTGGGGAAAAAAAAAAAAGACTCATTACAGGTTGGCAGTGCAGATCTTATGACAAATTTCTTCCCCGCTGTAAAGACTTTACAACTGAAAAGGTAGAATGCTTCATAAAATGAAGCATCTTTTTCTAAGATAATAACTGTTAAGGTTTTCCCCAGTGCTCATACGCCTCTAGCTTATTTTGTAATGATATAACACCTGCAATGGATTAAATCTGTACAGTAACTGCAGCAGATAGTGTAAGAAATGTCAGTTCTCATTAGCCTGCATATAAATCTGCCTGTTTTGGTAAGCAGGTTAAAGGAAAGATCAGTGAACCACTAGAAACCCAAAGCATATGTTGTTCACGCAAAAAGGACATTCAGCAGCAGGGATCTTTTCCACATCATACTCTTTCGGAATTGGAATAATGTTTTTCAGGAAGAAACAGAAATGTACAAAAATGCATTATCATCAACTTGTAGCAGTTTTTATAATTGCCTGCTGACACAGCTGAACAGTCATAAAATATCATAAAGAGTAAATGAGTTGATAATGTAAAGCAGTAATTAGGATTTTGTGTGTGTTTATGCTATTTACATATTTTAATGCTTTGATATTAATATGTCAACTTTAATAGTATGTAAATGAATTCTCTTGTGTGAGATTTATCCTCTTTGGCATTGGATGTATTA